TATAACTAGTTATGATTAATTATTCATATTTCCCCATGAGCTGATTCGCTACAGGTGCATTAGTGAGCAGAGAGAGGAAGGAATGAGTGACAGGCAGGAGGAGGATAAAATGGAGGTATTAGAGATAGAGGTGGAGAGAGAGAGAGAGAGAGAGAGAGAGAGAGAGAGAGAGAGTAATATATAGAGTAAGATATAGATAGAGTAAGATATGAATAATTAAAATAATTAATCAAAATAATAATTAAAATAATTATATTTAAATATTCTAACTTAAGGAAAATGCATGCTTAAAAAACATTTCAATCAATTTTATATATTTATTTTTTCCTCAATACCTGTTGTTTTTAGTGAAGAACACACAGTTCTTCTGGAATAATACAATTAATTAAACTCAACACTCCCAGTTTCTATTAATAATATATTATAGTTAATGTATAGTTAATATTATATAGGAGGCTTTCAAATATTGTGTTGGACACTGGGGGCCTTCGATTCAAAAAGGTTGAGAATGTTTTGAAAGAAAGGTAGGCCACTGTAATGTATGATTGCTTTATCTGTGAAAGATAAAAGTGATGCTCCCATAGATTTTGGTCAAAACAGGGTATAATGTGTGGCAACATCATTTTGTTGCCTGCTGCTTCGTACAGCCTATCTGCCAAAATTTTGGAAAAGTGTTTATGTTATTCATCAAGAGGTTATGCAACCTTGCACTGATGCAAATACAGACCCAGAATTGCCTTTACCTTTCTCCTCGCATGTCATGTTTTGATTTGCTTTCTTTAACTCAGATATATTCACATCAGGAGAAGTTTAGACAACCAAACAACTTGCCTTTATTGAATTTCACTGCAGTCTGAATAGTTGCCAATTCATGTTAACCTTTTCACTTGTGCATTTAGCAAAGCGCAAAAATACACAGTTTCAGTGCGGTTTGATTGAAATAACACAAAAAATATATATTTACTTTGTCCTGAGCACAGGCTTAAAAAATGCAAGGGAATTTAAAAGGGACGTTAAATTGATAGCAGAATGTGTCCAAGGCAATGCCATTCAAACTCACATATGCTACTGTATATTGCGGGTTAAATAGCTCCTGTAGTGATATTTTGACAACCGCTTTCAGACATACACGCCAAACACATTGTGTCTGTAGAGTGTCTTATAAAAAAGGTGCATGTGTCAGATGAGCCCACTGGTTGTAAATACTCAGTCCTTCTGAAAGTAGTGTGTATATAATCAACCAAAGCATGAGAAAATAACGCCAGTCACTTCCCGTAAATTCAGCAACTCACAATTCATAGTCAGCTCCGGGGCCTTATAAATCAAACTTACGAACACCGTAGAGTTTCTCCACCATCTCCTCTATAAATCTAGCTAAATTCACTGATCTGAACCTGGCAAAAGTCATACTTTTTTATCCCCTTAAATGTCATCCTATAGGACAATACATTGGTTTTGTCCACTGGGTGATTATGTGGAGCACCGCAGTGCATAGAGTCATCAATCATGTCAGATGTCAAACAATCTAACCTAGAAAAAGTCAAAAGAGAAATAGCATTACAGTACCATATCTTTACATTACATCTATATCTAGTATATGAAAACACATGTCCTCTTCTAAAGGAAAAAGGATTTATATATCAAGATTTTGTGCTCAAAAGTCTCACTTTATCACACAGCTTCACATTTACTGCTCATATAATGTTTACAAATGATTTTTCACGTACAGATATACAGGAGAACATGCATGCTCTCATTATTTTAAAGGTTCACCTATAAAATGCTAAGAAATTTTTATCAGTCTTATTATTCAGGACTAAAAGATGATCAGCCTTAATGGTTTTCTATAAATAACATGCCATTAATGATGGTGGAACATTGGTGAAATATAATGAGACAGTCTGGGGACGACATGAGCTGGCCTTATAAAAAATTACAGACTGAAGATCTACAGATTTGCATTTAAAATGATATTTGTAAAGACAGCTGTTTTCTAAACAACTACTGTATGTAATGCAATGCTAGTGTGTGAAGGGGGCAACAGATAATACTGCAAATAAATGTTTAATATCACTCTGTTTTTATGAAATGTCTCTAAAACTTCTGTGCCAAGAATTGAGAGCAAAGACGGCATTCTTGCACACTTCCTGCACCAGCTGAATGGGAATGCTAACGAATAGCTTACAGACTTATAGACCTACTTGTTTGAACCGTGTTTCTTATTTTAAATCAGAAGAATTTTTATTCTCTGCAAAGTACTAGCAAGCTACAGTTGTGGAGTCAGATCTCAGGAGGCAATCTCAAAACCATTAGCTAAGAGCTTTTTCAACACGCTGCCTTACTAATGCTTACGGCTGAGCATTTTTTACCTGGAATTAGATTATTAACTTTTCAAAAAATCTCACTGAAAGAAAGCAAATGTTAGCAATGCTGAATACATGAAAGCGATGTTGTGTCTCAAATAGCCTCTGGTTCCTAGGAAACTGTGATAGATGTTCCAAAATAAACACCTTCTGCAGTGCAACCTTCATGTAGCTGAAAACTGAAAACTGAAGGCGACTGCTTGCACTGTTTGGTGTGTAAGACAGTATAATGAGTGCTGTGAGTAAAGGCAGAATCTATAGATAGAAACAGTATGTCTGTTTCACTGTTTACACTG